GACAACAGCGCCGCCGCCGCCGCCGCCGGCACCAGCAGGGCGGGCGGGAGGGAGGGCTGGCCGGCCATGCGGGCCGCGCTGGTGGCGTACAGCAGCTCGGAGGAGGAGGAGGAAGAAGATGGGGGGCGCCGGGGCGGCGGCGCGCAGGGCCCCCCCCCGGCCAGGTGGGTGCGAAGGGACGGGGGCCCTTCGCGCGGGAGGGGGGCGGCGGGAGAGGAGTGAGGAAGGCGCGGCCTTCTCCTCATCCTCCCTCCTCATCCTCCTCCCCGCTCACCCGCAGCACCGGCTGCCCCCGCCTGCCCGTCCCCGCCGGCCTGCCGGGCGATCCGGAGGAGGCCGTTAGAGACGACAGCTCCCGGCACGGCGGCCGCCTCCGCCGCTTCCCCCACGAGCGGGGCAGCTGGGCCACGCACGTCTACCTGCCCTGTAGGTAACGGCGGGGGCGGGGGGCCCGGCCCGGCCAGGGCCTCAGAGCCCTCCCGTGCTCGGTGGGACCCGGCCGTCCCCGGTGGGGATTCACGGGGGAGGGCCGAGCCGGCCCTGAGACTGTGCTGCCGCCACAGACGGAGCCCAGGAGGAGTTTCTGGAGCTGCTGGAGCTGCTGGTCTCCCGCGCTCGCACCTACGTCTCCTCGCTGGCTGCCATGGAGGAGTTTCACCTCAGCCTCTCGCAGTGCGTGGTGCTGCGGTACCACTGGATAGACCCCTTCGTCCGCTCCCTCAAGGAGCGCCTGGCCCCCTTCCACAGGTAGGTTCGGCACCCGTACCGTACCTGAAGCCGTCTCTGCCAACAGGAAAGCCCTGGGGAGTTTTCCTCTCTGCCTCAGGATCCAGCACCCGACAACTCAGGTCTTGGCTCTCAAGGACAAGGCCGGAGCTGTGCCATCCCCTAAACCACAGGTGGTGTCATTGCTTACATCTGGTCAAGTGCCCGCTGAGCATCAGATGCTTCAGGGCTTCTGTCCACATCAGGGCCGCAGAAAAGCGGGGAGGAATGGATTAATTTGAGCCCAGAAAGGTTCTAGTTGCACTGATTCAGGCCACTTGCAGCATGCATTCACTTTTATCTTTCCACAGCTTGGCAGAAATCCTCTCCCCCACCTTTTTTCTTTTTTTCTACTAGCTGAAATAGGATCTTTCTTATTTCAGGTTCTTCTGCGTGGCTGACCAAGTGAAGGTTTACACCAATGAGAACAAGACGAGGTGAGCGAGCAGCGGGGCAGCCTGGGGAAGAGGCTGGGCAAGGTGCTGGGTGGATGGCAAGTGTCACTCTGCCTGTCCCCCAGTGTTTGGGGGGCTGACCTGTGTGATGGGGCAGCATGCAGCCACCTTCTGTCCAGAGGTTCCACACCTTTCCCCAGCTACTTGCACAAACTTTTAGCTTCAGTGCTGATTCTCTAGGGGCCATTGATCTTGGTGGTGGTGGGTGAACCGTAGGCTGCAGGGTTTCATTCTTCTGGAGAGAGGATATCTGTTCACAATATGACCTGAGGCAGGCCTTTCTGCTGGGGTTCAATTTGTGCTACAGTTTCACAGCAGCTGAAGGAGGCAGCCATGTTTGCTGCTGTCTGGTTTGTTCTGCGGTTTCACAAACCCTCCTGCCTATGTGAGCAGCCTGGGGCAAGCACAGCTGGGGGCCACCTCTTTTGGCAGCAGTGCTGGGTGTGAAATTGCAGTGCAGGTCTTCTAAGAGCTGGAAAGAAATAGCTGAGATGGTGTTAATTCTCCTGGGTGTCAGCTCAGAAGCCTGATTTCAAATGAACGCAATTAAGTAGTTTAAATGTCAAAGCAAAGGTGATTAAAACTGTGAAAAGTTGCTGAATCTGATGGGAATGGCAGCCCAGGATAGTCATGGGCAGGGTGAAGTGGATCCTGGGTGAGACTTAGTCTTCCCTCTCCTCCAGGAATCTAGAAAGTATCATCCAGATAGTCCTTGAGGTACCTCTTTGTCACATCTCTCCAGCTTTAAACTTCCCGTTCCCCACTTCCCCTCCCACCGTAAAACCCCTCCGGCAACTTCCTCTTTACGAGTGCAGCTCCTGCACAGGCATGATGCTCTGCTCAAACACCCACCGAGTCTGTCGTTTGCCTGGAAAATGAGTTTTCATGTCCCAAAAGGTGCTGAGTTAATCTGGTAAATCTGTGTGGTATATCATCCGGTCCTGCTTCTCCCTGCTACCACATTTTTATTTCTGTTTTTCTTCAGAATACGGTCATTTTCCTTGAGACTTAAACCTGCCATTCCTCAGATCAGCTTTTGTTAGGGGGTAGAGAATTTGACCGATAGGAATGCAGGGCTAAATGTGCTTGCTGTGGTGCTTTCTGCAGCAGGAAGGGGTGCTTGCTGTCTCTCCTTGTCTCTCTCTAGGACCTTCATTGGGTTGGAGGTCTCCGCTGGGCATTTCCAGCTGCTGGAGCTGGTCTCGGAGGTGGACAGAGTTCTGGAGGAATTTGACCTTCCCACATTCTACAAGGTGAGGGGTCTCCCAACCACTGCTCTGCCGGTCTGGACATGCCAGCTGGTTCCTTGTGAGAGGTCCATGAAATGTTCACCTCAAATAAACAGGAGCAGTGAGAACACTGAAGTGTTCTCCTCTGGACCAGTCAGTGATGTTCATACTTAAGACCTTAACATCCATTCTTTTGCTGAGAATGGGACTAGCGCAGGTCTGTGACTTCTGTATTGCATCCTCTGCAGGAGACTAAGGATGTTAACTATCTGAGAGTTGGGTTTCTGGGACGAAGGGCCAGAGCTTACGTCGTGGTCACGTGCATGTGCGCGAAAGCAGAGCTGTCCTAGGATTGAATGACCTTAGGGCGATGGTCTGCCCACATTGACCTGTAGGCAACGCTTGTGCCTCTTCCTTGGGCAGTTTCCTGGAGCATCGGTCCATCTGCTTTGCTTGGTACTAGCTTCTGGGACAGGTTTTGGGTTTTGAAGGCCCAAACCCTGATTTTTCTGTCTCCAGAGCTGAGCAGGGGGCTCTTGTTATTCAGAAGTGACTCACCCACTCAGTCTAGCGCCATCTGTGAGTGGTTCTCTCTGCAGTTGGAAAAGCTTCTGCCGAGCTGACCACAGGGAGGCTGGGAACCAGGCATCCATGCCCACCGTTGTCCAAAAAAGGCTGAGATGGGGAGCCCAGGGTTCATCTCACCTCCACCACTCTCTGTATCAGCTCTGCAGCTGCTGAGCTGGCAGAGGGGGCTCCCAGGTTCAGGGTCTTGCTTCTGCTATCCCAGGCAGGACAGCATCACACCAGATCTCCCACCGTGGCTCTGTGCATTTTCAAATCCTCATGAGCCTATCCCTGTTTTGTCTGCAGGACCCATCTTTCCATATCAGCTTGGCCTGGTGTGTTGGGGACATGTCTGGCAGACTGGAAGGGCAGTGTCTGCAGGAGCTTCAGGTATGTCCCCAGGCAGTGTGGAGAGCAGGGGAGGAGCAGAGCTGGTGTCCAGCCACGTCTCCCCACTGAGGGCGGAGAGTGGGAAATTCTCTTCATTGAGCAAGACAAACTTCATGGGGGTAAAAGAAGAGAAGCTTTTGAGGAGAGCGTGAGTTAAGTCACCCTCCAGAGGCTTCCAGCCACAAACAGGCTCATCTCTGACTTGGTTCAGAGAGGGAGCTGTTGACTCCTTCCTCTGGCAGATCCACCCGCCTTCTACTGACTCCTGCATCTATTTTCCAGGACATCGTGGACAGGTTTGAGGACTCTGCGCTCCTGCTGCGTGTCCAATGGGAGCAAATCCGTTGCAAGTCAGGGAACAAGTACTTCTCTTTCCCCTTGAGGTAGGGGCCAGTGGGTCTGGGCATTTCAGAGCCTCGAAGACCCTGGTCTTCAACCAAGCAGCTCGGAGCGGTGCAGGCTGTCACGCATCTTCTGTGCTCTTCTTGCCTGCTCAGCACGTCTGGGTTGTTTGTGGCCTCCACTCAGGCTACTTCCAAGTTTGAGTTGCTGGCTGAAGAAATGCGTGCTTGTAGCAGATTTCATTCTGTGCAGTCAGCACCGGTGGTTCCAGCCATCCCATACTTGCTAATTTTGCTGATTTTTTAAAAAAAAAAAGAAAATCAGTTCTCTATAAAAGCCATAGTTGCCTTACGGGAAGGAGGAAGAAGGTAGCGTGGGAAGCTGTTGCTGAAGAGAGAGTGTCTCGCACGTTGGAAATGACACTGCCTGATTGTCAGGAACATGCCTTGAGTAGCAGGAGGGGAGGACATGGAGCTGGACTCTCTCACCAGAGCATCTCCCAACTTTAAGCCAGGACAAGTTCCTGACTCATTTTCAGTGTCCCTCTCATGCTGCTGCTGCCGCCTCGATGGAGAAATTTCAGTATCTGGTCCTTTTGCCAAGTAGCAAAAGATGAAATTCAGAGGGGAGAGGTTGGAAACCCCTTGTTTTCAGTCCTGTGGGAACAGGGCTTTCATTTAAGGTTGTGCATGCCATGAGCCCAGGACGTTTTTGGTGGGCTGCTGCTCTCTGGAAGCGCGCAGAGGGCGAGCTGGAGAGGGGCACTATCAGCTTTTGCCTGAGCTGGGAGGGTTGTGCCCACGGGTGAGTCAAGGGGTGGCAGCTCCTGCCTGGGCTCCGTGCTTTTTCCGTGTGGGAACAGCACCCCTCCACTGTCGTGGTGACCCTGGGGACCGATGGCTGGACATTTTCCCTTGGGAGAAGCTCCTTTTTAATGTGTTTGTTCCTGCTGGGAGGGTGGCAGCAGTCTCTTGGGTGCTCGGAGCAGGATACTGATGTGCTACCGTGAATTTTTCATGCCGTGTCTGTCTGATAGAAGACTCTGGGACTTCTGATCAGTAAAAATGTGTCTCCTCGTGTCATAAAATTGTTTCCATGACATATTTTAGCCATTCCCTTTCAGACATGCCCAGCTCCCACAGACTTTAGATGAGGCCGTGCCTGCAAGCCCTGCCGTGAGCTCGGCGCTGCCCATCGTGGCACAGGAGAGAGACCGGGGGTGTTGTGGCCACGGGAGCATCCCAGCAGGAGCGGTGGTGCCCGCCAGTGCCAGTGCCCGTGCCAGAGCTGGGCTTCAAAACCTGTACCCGATTCTGTTCAGTCCGTTTCTGGGCGGAGGGTCTGCCGATAAGGTGTGTGCTCACACCCCGGGTTTTCTTTCGGGGAGGGAAAAGCAAACAAAACCGGATATATTTAGCCCCTGGGGACTTCCAGTGAAACCGGCTCCGGCACAACCGGTTTCTCGGTGGTGCCGGGGCCAGCGGAGCCGGGTTAATGCCCAACCGGCCCGGCCCCGCGCTGCCAGCCGGCGGGGGTCAGGGACCCCGCTCCCGCCTTCCGGGGCCGGGGGAGGCGGCCGGGCTCGGTGCGGGGACGGTGGGGACAAAGTCCGGGGGTGCGGGGCCGAGGCTCGGCGTGCGGGGCGGGCTGGGGCTGCGGGCACCCGTGGGAGCGGCCCCGCCCC